TATATATATATATAGTGATGTTATCGTTTAATAACATGTATTAAAATGTATTCTTTATGTTTTTTTCGATTGTGATGTATATGATTCTTCTAATTCCCCATCTACGGTTACTGGCCACAACTAATTCTCCTATCATTCCAGACGCCACAGCTCACGGAACCACCTCACACTCCAGAAGGAATTCATACTGTCTGTTTTTGTTTGGTCAATAAACCCTTTTTCCAATCTTAACTCAGTTGATTCTGCATGTGGGTCAGAAGATTAAATCCGAACATGACGGAAACGGAACACGTTCATTACAGAAGATAAAATAAAATGCCGGCTCTTTCTCTGCAAAACAAAACAAAAATATTTGTCAGAAAATGTTTATTGTCGATCGTCAACAAATAAGCTAACATGTATGCAGCACTGCTAAGGGGACAGATAAAACCCTCCCGATTAGAGACATGATATCTAATGATGTTGTTTGATGTTATTTTCCCCTCAAGAAGAGGAAAAAAATGTCTGTTTTTGAGAAGGCACAGGCCTCAAAGGTTATCTCATTGAATCATACTAAGCGCAGTATTTTCAAATGACATGTCTGCTGTAAGTAAGAATAAACCATCACAATGTTAATTTGCACAAACTTCACCTGACAACCAAAAAACACAAAACCAAGAGAAATGCCTAAAATTATATCATAATCATAGAACTAAAAAAAGTTTTCTTACAATGAAAAAATGTCTAGGCTTATTTTGCGCTTCAAATGCAAGAATGTTACATTTCACTAAATTACTGTCTGTTTCCAATACATTTTGAATATATATTTTAGAAAGTAGTAATGGGTACTTATAAAATTTACCTCTTCACTATTATTTATGGTTTTGTAATAACAAAAAGTGATGATATAGTATCAACTTTTGATTCGTTTTTTAAGCAACTTCATGGCTGTGACTATATACCACAACAGTCCAGTCCCCACAGAAATAAATGCACCTCTTCACATACATCTTCAAATTAACTGCATTTAATCCCATATTTGAATTTTGTGTGTATTTATTGATAATCAAAAGTTACCTTGAATTTATTATTGGATAGTGAATAGAAACATTCCTAAGCAGAGTTTGTATCATTATTAATGCTTTATTATATATAACTAAAATATTAGGGGAATACAAACACTCCATTACATGCATTGCCCTGTTTCAGCCAGCTTAAAATGTTCATACAGTTTTATTCTGACTAAATATCCAAGATCTGACAGTTTTCCTTAATCCAGTCAAAGCAATCAAGCTTTCTTAAATTTTACAATAAAGTAGGACAACAGAAATTATTTAACTACGACTGATTTCCATGCTTAATAATTAGGAGACTCTTTACCTTAAAAGCGGCCCATTCCTCTGCAGTGTTCCTCCATAAATAAAATGTTGGTGAACCTGGATGTCCGGGGCGTCCTGGCTCCCCCATTTTACCCAGTCGGCCTCTAGGACCCTTTCCACCCTGAAGACATTGAAATATATTTGGTCATTTAAACCTAAAGTGCTGTGATTTAGATTTATTGTTGTGTTATAAAAGCATATTTATAGCAAGATTAAATTAAAGATTAAAGATATTTAATTATAGAGCACAAAAAAAATATTTAAATAGCAACCCTCCATAGTGATTCCAATCAAAGTTGGGTTTTAAAGTGTTTGGTGATGGCATCCTCTGCTGATATTTATCTAAATGCCATACTGATAACAATGCTGAATACTTATGATATTCATGTTAGAAGATGTTTTTAAAAAAATCAGTTTTTGAACATTGGAAAGGTTGTTATAAGCAGTAACTTTGTTCATAGGTGTTCTGCAGGGTTATTTCATCCAATGGGAAGTTACACAAATGTGGCAGCCAGCTCTTAAGGACACCATACCTCTTGCAAGTAGATCAACATGGTAAAGTTGAAATCACTCAGGGGCCGCAAAAAACATATTACTTAAATGTTTAAATGTATAAAAAAGCTCAGATGTATTTCAGTGTGATGCATTGCTTTGTGACCTGCTTTTATCATGTTTTCATCTTTACTTGCAATTTTCTGCTTTTATTTTTCTATTGTATTGCTTAATTTGTGTAAAGCACTGGATTGTTTTAGTACTGAACTGTGCTACTGATCTGCAATTCATGTTAAATTCTAAATAAGAGAGGAATGTACACTGGAAAAAATAAAAATCTAGATAAGTAATTGCTTCTTAAAATAAGTGCATTTGTTCTTGAATTGAGAAGGTAAAAGAGACATTTTGCCAATGGAACAAGACAATTTACATTTAAAATAAGAAAACTCACTTATACTGTCTTATTTGAAGTGCATTTTATCTAAATATCTTATTTTAAGCGTAAAAATAGTCATTCTATTGGCAAATCATCTCATTTACCAACTCAAATTAAGGGTAAATACACTTAATTTCAGAACTTTTTACTCATTTCTAGATCGTTTTTCCAGTGTATCACTTATGCCTCATTTAATCATCCTTAATTATCATAGAATTTATAAATGGTATAAAGTTGCACCATTCTGAGTTGCAGTAAATTGTCAAACTAAATCAGTTTAGCATCACTGATGCACCTCATGCGACAATTTAGACATCTGGTTCATCAACCAAAGCCTTACTTACCTTATCGCCTTTTAATCCAGGAGGACCAGGGTCACCAGGGCATCCCTATGGATACAGTGACAGCAAGACAATGAAACTTAATATAAATTATTTAAATAATAATAACTGAAAACTGTATTCACGTATTACTCCTGTTTGCATATCTGCTAGTGATGCAATCCAATTCAATTCAGTTCATTTATATAGCACTTTAATCTCAAGACACTTTACAG